CGTCGCCCTTCTCGAGGACGACGACCGACGCGACATCGCACAACGATCAACGACGCGAAGAATGGCGACAGCGATGGCAGGAACGAGCACGATGAGCGATATGGACCTCAACGCTGTCCGCAAGTGAGCACACCAGTCTATATGCGCGCATCGTACTAATAGAATTCACAGACTAGCACAATCATACACCACCCACCCTCTCCATCTCACAGCGCTCCATGCCTCCTATCTCGACCGCGCAACCTCCGACCTCCCCACACTCTCCGACTCGCTCATCTCTCTCCAACCTCTCAATCCCAGCTTGCTTGAGAGGGACGTCGCGGACCACAAAGACTACTTTACGAAGATCAAGTTCAAGTACTTGGAGCAGGAGAGCAAGGAGAGATTCTTGAGGTATATCCTGAGAGAGGATCCGCCTAGCTTAAGAGCGGCACATAATATGCAACTGGGTGCGCTTGCTTCCATCCCTCTATATGAGTGTATGCTAACAGTAGTCAGAACAAACCAACACTGCACTAAAGACATCTCTGAAGACATCCAAGCTAGCGCTCGAATCCAGCAGCGCACAAGTCCGCACGCTTGCGCCACAAATCGACGCTCTTCACACTCAAACGCTCGCTGACGCAGCCGAATCGACCCAATTAGTGAAAGAGATCCGAGATATGGAGCTCGAGCTCGCCCGTCTGCGAGCACAGCATCCCCCCGAGTCGCGCATGACAATTTCTCGCGCGACGCAGATTCTGGATGAGCAGGTGGACACGCTCCAGCAGCTGACAAAGGAGCTCCATGTCCGGACTCAGGCGCTGGGGCAAAAGAAAGGCGCATTGCAGGGGAAGGCGAAGGAACTCGAACGGGTTGAACTGGATAGGATAGCAGCTGAGGCTAGACTGGGGGAGGCAAAGCGCGCAAGCGAGGGCAGGGACGGGAATGTCGAGAAGCTTGTGTCTTGGTAAGCTCCATATTGTATGATTCGCGCTGAGACTGACACTTGGAAGGTATACGAATGCCATAGCGGGATATAAGGACCTCATGGGTATCGTCGGACTTTCCGCACAGACGGAAAATGAGCTGCGCGTGGTGTACCGCACCCCGCGAGGGGATCGAACCCTCTGTCTGATATTCGAGCCCGGTACAGGCAGGCTCGGGGACGCGAGGGTACGTGCTTCTCCCTTGGTATCTCGCGCTTGGCTAACGATATCAGGTCTTGGAAGAGAAATTGGATATTACTGAGGCTGTCGATTTGGCTGTGGCAGGAAATGACGTGCCGGGACTTGTGAGGCGTGTCCTGGCCCTGCTCAGGAGTGCGAGGACATAGGGCAGGAAGGGATACCGGGATAGTGTAAGCAAGAATTGGCGAGGAAGTACGATACCTGGTATTGTGTTGTCTGATTATACAACGAGCGAGATCTTCCCTCTGCTTCACAGATAACGATTCCTCGATCCCTGCACGCTCACAGAGCAGCCTTCCGGGCCAGCGTATTCCCCGCCAGCACCATGATGTACATCGCCCACACTGTCTCATGTCAGCTTCAGCATCCGCTAGCAATCAAGGGAAAGCTTACCGGTGCCAGTCCAGTATGCAACCGTCCGAATGCCCGCTACCGCGTGGGTAGTCTGGTTCGCATACGCAATATTGAACACCACCCTGCACACCAAACTATTCCGTCCCACGTCAGTCCACCATCTCCGGAAGAACAACAAACACACTAAGCAACAGCAAATCCATTAACGACTCTCGTGTCCAGGCCCGCGTACAGCCCTGCCCCAACGGCCCCCAACAGGAGAGGAAAGTTCTCGGACGCGTTCGCGTGTGCTGCTTCTAGCCTAGCCGCTTCAGCCATGACCAGGGTGGGGACGTCTTTCTTTTGTGCAACTTGCATCAAGGAACGAGGGGATCGGTTGTCGAGTTTTATACCGCTGACCGGAGGACTACAGGCCCGGGGTAAGCAGTTAAGAAGGCAAAGGGAGGAGACCTACTCATCAGTTTTTGCACATGGGGCACGAAGCCCAGGAAGTGTGCGATGGGGAGGGCGTACAGCGCTACGCCAGGGGTATCCAGCGTTTGCCAGAAGAGGTCGAGAGAGGCCATCTTATTCCTACTGAACTGAGGAAGAAGGGGAGAGTGAGTCAGTAGAGAGAGAGGACAGGTTGCCTATAAAAATGGTGAAGCTTCCTCGACCACGCACCGGTAATTCGCCGGTTGTTACCTTGCCTTCCTAAGAGAGGCTGTGAGAGTCATCGAGGAACGGCGCCCGTGTAAGTCCTGACAATTCAATGTGACCATATACAACTAAGGGGCCCATTCAGGGACAGGCATCTGATCGTGGGAACGGTGTTTCTCCTACAACGGGATTACGACGATGGTTTCTTACATAGAAGCATCCCTCTCTCCGCAGCCGAAGTCCGTCCAAGCCTGAATAACATTCAATCCAGGATGCCATTACACTCGATAACCCCTCTCGCTGTACTCCCTTCCAATCATTTACGCAATCGGACTCCAGCCATCAGTGCAGCG